GGGGGGAGACGCTGCTCCCCGCGCTCCAGGAGGCAGCAGGCGCGGAGCCAGGGGAGCGCAGCCCGCAGGTCCCGGGCCGGCCTTGCGCGGGGGCAGCGAAAGCTTCGACGTGTTTCTCATGGCGCGGCGCAAACAGCGCAAGTGAAGCGGCGGCGGAGCAGCGGCCGTGCTCGCGTTCGCCTGACGTGTGCCGACAAAAGGCCGGCTGCGGGTTTGCAAGGGACAGGCCGTCCCTGCAGTGCTCTTGTCCTGCCGGTCCAGCATCAGGCAAGCCTGGTTTTAGCGTAGTCAGGCACTGGCTTCTTGCAGTGTGCTAACACGCGAGAAGTTACCAGGCAGTGACTTTAACCAGGGCAGTGACTTTACGAGGCAGGGTGGGTGAGAAATGAGACATCTCCCCTTTCACCTGCAGTCTCTCAGGCTCCCGCAGGGAGAGCACCGATTCCTCCACGTGAAGGGCAGTGCACTGGATCACAGCATGGTATTTGTCCATCACGGAATAAAACCACTCCAGACTTTTTCCACTGTTTGGGTTTTTTTTTAACAGTCAAGGGATTGAACAAAAGTACAAGAAGATAGTTAAGCATTAACTTGCTATTACTTACCCTGTAATCATGGAACCAAGAGACATTCCTGGTCCCCTACAGTAGTGAGTATTACATAATGGCCTCTGTTTTGATACTAAGAAAATATGAGTGTTCTCTAATAATTTCACAATGTCGGGTTACTGTGTGTTCTCTGGGGCTCTCATCCAAGCCTAGCTAAAGTGGAGGGGAAAGTTCCTCTGGCTTTAAAACCCCACAAGTGTTCACAGTAACTGCGCAGACAGAAGTGCTCCGAGGTGTAATTAGCTCTTTCACCCACTCTGCAGAGACTTACCAGGGCGTAGTATGACAACCCAGTCGGTCCAACGCATCGCCTGGGAAGGTTTGGCAGCTCCTCTGGGCAAGGACAGCAGCCCCTCACATTTGCCACGTCTCTGATTTCCTGAAAGGAAGCGGGTGAAAGACAGAAGAGGTCCACGAGTCTCTGGAAGGTACCACCTTACCCAAGATAAACTGTTGTGGGGGGCTTCCTGAGACTGCCAGCAGATGCTTCTCCTGCCTGCCCAAATTCATCCCCACTCAGTTAAGGTAAGCTGATACTGTAATTGTAATTCCTGGGTTTGTTAGCTTGGGCTCATTTCTCGTACTCCATGTGCCACTTATCCCAAGTGAATTGGTGCACATAAAGTCTATAAGGGTTTTTTTAATGTTGTAGGCATTCTAGTATTTGTACACTATTCATTATGCATCTCAACATCCCTAATTTACCTCTGGGTGTTCACTGAGCAAAACTGCTCTGAACTTCCCACAGCAGTCTGGGCACAAAGGGAGGCAACCATGCTACTATTTACAGGGTAAGTAGCAGCAGGTTAATGTTTAACTATGTTATTGTAATTTTATTCAATCCTTCAAGACTGTTTAAAAAAACATGTGACTGAAGTGCAGCTCTTCCTCCACATGACTGGGGCATATTTGGCTGTGGATCGGGCTTTGCAGTCATGCTCCCTTGCCCTGATGTCTCTCGCGCCTGGATGTCCAGGCCTACAGCAGAGGCCCTGCACTTCTCTGAAGTAACCGAGCGCCCATCCTGTCCTGCGTGACAGGTGGAGGAACTGTGAGGGAAGGAGAGTCCCAAGAAACAGGCTCAGATCAGTGGATTGTTTGGGTGGGCAGTATCTCTGCCCCTTTGGCTGTTGCCCACCTGCACTGACCAGTAATGGGTGTTTGTTTTTTTTTTTTTCTCGAGCTAACTATAGTAATTTAGTGCCATGGAAGTAGTTCAGTTTCCCTCTCTGGAGAAATGGGGAAGAATGAAAGGCACCTAAGGGCCTGGGGATGACAGGGTTGCTTCCCTCATCTCTGAGAAAGGAATGAGTGGAGACTTTTCTATCAAATGCATTCTAGCACTTTTAGAAAATACTAGAAGATTTTCTAGCATGTTTAGAAGATACTAAAACGAAGAGGAACAGCAAAAGGGAGGCATCTGTGTCTGACTTTTGGGGAGGGATAGCATGGCCGAGATGGGAGGTACAAGTGAGAAGTGCTGGGAGAGTGTATGTGTTGGTGAAGGAGAGGGAGATACAATGGAGGTGCAAGGGACAAATCTGCTGTGTTCCAGCTGAGGTTTTGAGGTATCCCTGTAAGCCATGAGGCACGGCGGAGCAGGTTGGCGTGCCAGTGTGTGACTGAAGGGGCTGCTGCAACCCGACAAGAGTTGAAAGCTCCCTTGGGAAAAGACCCCAAGAGGTTGGTGTATCACGATGCTTACCTGCAGCAACGTTCTGGTGTCTCTGGGCACCTCCTACCCCAGCGCTGAGTAACTGCAACATAAAAACACGACTCGCAGCGCAGCAAAACGCACTGTCAACGCAAGGCCCGCTCCAGGCCTAGCCACTGAGGTGCGGCAGCTGCCTTCGCCTTCCAGTCGCGCTTTGGCTCTTCTCCCTCTTAATTTTCACCGTTTCTGGGAGGCACCCGTCCCGCGGGTTTGCCGGAGGGCACGACCAACTCGAGCCAAAGAGAGTTCAAAACCCGCCGAAGCAACCGCGCCGGCGGATTTCTGGAGGGGCTGACGGAAAACAAAAACCACCCTCGGGGACGCTGCGCCCCGGTGCCCCGCGGGCCCGGCGCGGGTGGCTGCGGGGGACGGGACGGGGCGCTGGGGCGG